CCCTGCCGGTGTACAGTCTGTTAAGAAAACAGAGGCTTTATCCTGAGAAAGGAACATTTCTCTATTTTGGCTATGGGTTGTTATTTTTAAAGCTCCATCCTCCAAACATTTTTCTCATCCTTATTTATTTTATCACACACAAGAAAATGTAATAATTTTTTAAGGATTCAGCTACATGAACAAAAACCCACTTTTAGTGGGTTTACCCCACTTAAGGCCATCTGGCCTTTGTTGTTACTACTGTCATCCCATATTGATAGCGTTTAAACTTTCCTCCCTGCTTATCAAGAATATCTATATTTCTACAGTTAAAGAACATACACATGGAAATTGTTTTCTCAATGCTAAATTTAAAAAGGCCAATCCCTCACTTGGTGTTTATGAGTGTGTATTTATCAATGCTGTACCTATAACTAAAGATTAAATATAGTCCTGGTTCCACACTTCATTCAAAGCACTTGACATGAAAACTCATTTTATCTGCTCTGTGAATGCTATAATAGTTGCTTTCATTTTCCTATGGGTTAATTTGGGGGACTGGCATTTGATATAAGGGATTTTCTTTCTATACCTTTTCCAGGGCATGAATCCCATTGCACTGCATCTTTCTTATGGTTTGTCTTTTCCCTGATCTACGTCTCCTTACAAAAATATCCATGGTTTTCTTCTCTGTACTCTAATTTCTAGTATAGGACTGAAATACATAATTTTGTTGAATGACTTAACATAGTACAAAATAGGGAGACAAAAACATCCTGTAGGAATTTTTTCTTCTGCTTGGTAGGCAGTGTGGTTGCCTCACAGTATTGAGCCCTAGTTCTTTCATTTGGAAAATATTAAAAATAATGCTAGCCTTAGATATCAATTGTAAGAAGTAAATGAGGAACCAGCACTGTGGTATAGTGGGTAAAGTCACCGCCTGCAGTACCAGCATCCCATATGGTACCGGTTCAAGACCCAGTTGCTCCACTTCCAATCCAGCTTTCTGCTATGGCCTGGGAAAACAGTAGAAGATGACCCAAGCCCTTGAGTCCCCGCACCAGCATGGGAGACCGGGAGGAAGCTCCTGGTTCCTGGCTTCAGATCGGCACAGCTACAGATGTTGCAGCCAGTTGGGGAGTAAACCAGTGGATGGAAAACCTCTCTCTCTCTCTCTGCCTCTCCTTCTCTGTATGTGTAACTCTGACTTTCAAATGAATAAATAAATCTTTTTTAAAAAAAGAAGTAAATGAATACATCAAAAGTATCTATCAAATTTCAAGTCAGTGTGAAAAATATACCATATATAGTATCAATAAAGCTAGCTACCTGGAAAAATATTAAGCTGAATCGTTATTTCATGTCTTAACACCAAAATAAATCCCAATTGATTGATGCACAATTCTATGAATACACTAATTTCCTGCAATGCTTTACTTTAAATGAGTGAATTATAAAGTATATTATTATATCTCAGTAAGAAAAGTTTTATTAAAAATTCATATATCCCATTAATTAGGACAAACATTTAAACAAAAATATTAAACTATAGTAGATGGAAGTATAATTGTTGTTTGTTATTGAAAGGAATCCTTTCAAACAAGATATACTATTCTAGGTCCATGAATTAGGTTTAATAAATTTGGTTCTGTAATAATTGTTTTTGCAGAAGAAAATACAAGAAAAAAGAACACAGAAAGACAGAGTAATATTAAAATTATGACATATGAGAGAGGGTCAATTGCTCTAATATATCAATAGCTGTTAAGAATCAATGTGATAAATAAAACCAAGTGTCTGGTAATAACAATAGATAGAATTAAAAAAAGAGAGAGAATGATCCAACATGGGACGCAGGCCACACAGCAGACTCATAGAATGACAATGCCCTAAATAGCACTCTGACCTCAGAATCAGCCACTAAGGCATTCAGAGCTGGCTGAAAAGCCCAGGAGAGCATTTCAGGCATGGAAAGCCAAGACACTGTGGCAAAAAATAACCTACATGAAGGATCTCTGTAAGTGGGACTCCAGTGGAAATAAGGGGCTTTCAAAGAAGGATGTACTTTTCTCTGAAGGGAGGAGAAAACTTCACTTTGCATATGGCCCTGTCTAAATACCAACAGAATTTATGTACTCAAAAGGCTTCCACAGCCTTGGCAGCTCATGTCAAGAGCTTTGGATTGTCACTGACATCAAAAATAAGACTGTCAATGGTTAAGTGAATAACAGGAGTCACTGTGTACTTACTCCCCATATAGGACCTCTGTCCTTAATGAGTTATACTATGAGAATTAACAGTAAAATCTGTCTTCAAACAGTACTTTATACTTTGTGCATCTGTGTGGGTGCAAACAGTGGAAATCTCTACTTAGTATAGAGTTGGTCTTCTGTATATAAAGTCAATTAAAAACAAATCTTAATGAAAAATGGAATGAGAGAGGAAGTAGGAGGTGGGATGGGAGTGGGGGTGTGAGGGCAGGAATGGAGGGAAGAAACACTATATTCCTAAAAGCTGTACATATTAAATTTGTATTCATTAAATAAAACCCTTAAAATTAGAAAAAGGAAAAAAAATGAATCAATGTGAAAAAAAAAAAAAAAACAGTAACCCAACAAAAAAGTATGGGCATGGGACAAAAGCAGACATCTCAGAGGAAGAGCTTATACCAATAGATCCCCTACTAATAATCTATTAACATAAGCTTTTTCAAAGTAGTGTTTGATTGTCTATCAAAACTGAAAACACAGAGTTCCTTTTAATTAGCAATTCTACCTCTGGGAACTTTTCTGTAGCTGTCTATACAGGTGTCCCAAGACATAAATGTAAGGATGGTCATTAAATGAAATGTTTGTGACAGCAAAATCCTTGAAATCAAATGTCAATGAACAAGAAGATGTTAAAAATTATAGCATTTTAAGTAAAAGAAGAAACTATTCGATTGTTTAAAAGTTGATTATGTAATTAATAATTTAATCAGTTAATTTAAAAAGCAAGATGCTAAACAATGTGTTTCAAATGTTTATGTATTTCAAGATATATGCATGCATATTCCTAGGACATTTTAACTTTTTCCTGATCTCATAAAATTCAATTTGTCAACAAAAAATGAATAAATTCCTTTATATGTAGTATCATTAATTTTTGCAACAACTTTATGGAAAAAGATAGTGACATTTGCATTTTTAAATATTACATGTATGAACCTTCTAGTTTGCTTATTTAATATTTGCAACTATTATTGCTAAATCCTTGATTTTAAGGCTGTCTTATAAAGGAAAAAAGCCCTGAACTTCTTAGAATGGGGTAGAACATCCTTTCTCTTTTTTCTTCCTTTAAAAAATGTATTTATTTAAAAGAGTTACAGAGAGAGAGGGAGAGGCAGAGATACCTTCCATCTGCTGATTTACTCCCCCAAGTGGTCACAAAGGCCAGGGCTGAGCCAGGCCCAAGCCAGGAGCCAGGAGCCTTCATCCTGGGGTGTACCATGTGGATGGTAAGGACCCAAGTCCTTGGTCCATCTTCTGCTGCTTTTCCCAGGCCATTAGCAGGGAGCTAATAGCAAGTTGAGCAGTAGAGACAAAACTGGTGCCCATATGGGATGCCAGCATTGTAGGAAGCAGCTTTACCTATTATGCCAAAATGTGAGCCCCTATCTATAGATGCCTTTTTTAACCTAGAAATCTTTTATTTAAAGTATACAAACTTCATGCATTTCATATATATAAGTTTAGCAACATAGTGACTCCTCCCACCCATCCCTCCCTCCTACCCACACTCCTACCCTCCTTCTTCCTCCTTCTCCTATTCCCATTCTTAATTTTTACAAAGATCTATTTTCAATTAACTTTATACACATGAGATTAACCCTACACTAAGTAAAGAGCTCAACAGATAGTATGAAAAAAGAAACTGTTCCTCAACAGCCAAAGAACATCCCTTCTCACCTGACATTTTCATCACCTGTCTCCTTATACCACACACTGTTCCATGTTCTTTCATGTTGCTTCCTGTGAATAGGACGGACACACTTCCATGATGCAGCCACACCTCTTTGATGAAATCCTTCATTCTCTTAGAATGTTAATTCAAATAGCACGTAGTAGGCACATCTTTGCCTACCCTCCTTTGCAATATCAATGGTCTTTGCCCAACCATAGTCTATAGTTATTGTTGTTTTTCCTGTACTTCAAAAGCACTTCAAAATACATCATTTGGGACTTATTCTATTAATTCAAGGCCATAAGCATCTTGAGAGGAAAGGCTGTGTTTTTTTCTCTTTCCATAACTACTACAATGCCTAGAATACAGCTGTAGATCACTAACATATAAAGTAATTTATCTGAATTCTAATCATTTTTATTGTCCTTTTTTTTTGGTTGAAGAATTCCACTCATAATAGCATGGCATATTTGGGAATTTAACAATACATCTCTTCTAAGAATTTAAAGTGACAATGTTTTACTGATGGAAAATCTCTCTTTTTTTTTTTTTTTTTTTGTTACCCTCTCTAATTAAAATGAATGTTCCTGCTCCAGGAGCAGAAGGGACTGCAGTGTGTGGTTACAAATTTGGAGCCAGGCCGGTGCTGTGGCTCAATAGGCTAATTCTCCGCCTTGCGGCGCCGGCACACCGGGTTCTAGTCCCGGTCGGGACGCTGGATTCTGTCCCAGTTACCCCTCTTCCAGGCCAGCTCTCTGCTGTGGCCAGGGAGTGCAGTGGAGGATGGCCCAAGTCCTTGGGCCCTGCACCCGCATGGGAGATCAGGAGAAGCACCTGGCTCCCGGCTTCGGATTAGCGCGGTGTGCCGGCCGTGGCGGCCATTGGAGGGTGAACCAACGGCAAAAAGGAAGACCTTTCTCTCTCTCTCTCTCTCTCTCTTCACTCTGCCTGTAAGAAACAAACAAACAAACAAAACACAAATTTGGAGCCAGTAGATTTTTATCTGTGCAAACCTGATCATGTTTGTGAATGCTTTTATGTTCTTTAACACTTTTTTTTTCTTTGCTGTGTCTTCACAGGAACCAGGGGAAATGTGTAGAGGGCATGGTGGAAATCTTTGACATGTTGCTGGCTACATCGTCTCGGTTACGTATGATGAATTTGCAGGGAGAGGAATTTGTGTGCCTCAAATCTATCATTTTACTTAATTCTGGTGAGTTGATAACATGAATTTAATGCTGGGTTGCTAGGAGAAATATTAATATGTATTTTTCAACCAGATACAATCTACCCACTCCAAAAGCATAGTGTAATAAATTCAAAAAATAGTGACACACATTTAAAATAAACTATTGTAGTATAGATTATTTATAGAGGGAGAACTGTGCTGGTCAAATATGATGAATGAAAAATGGTAATTGGACACTGAATCACATGGCCTTTTTGTTGAAGTGTGTGTATCTTTTCATAGATATGAGCATGTTTGGTTAAAATGATATGTGTTAATAGACATAGGTGTGTGTCAGAAAGTAAGTAGAACAGTGACCTTGTTAAGGTATTGTGACCAATTCCAAGCTCCACATAATAAGGAAAGAGGGTTACTTGAAACAGACCACGTTTTTTTCTGGTAAAAATTGATGAGCCACAATTATAGTTGGCTTAGCTTTCTGGTTCCAAAACTGAGGAACATGCAAGGAAGTATATGCATCCAGGTGGAAGAGCATTTTTATTTGATCTGTGGGTCTGCTTCTATTGGCCCTTCCTGTTTATTCATTCGAGAAACCTTCACTAAGAGAACATCTGTTTGTGTTTTTTTGTTGTTGTTTTTGTTTTGTTTTGGAAAGGGGTTGGCTCTTCTGTGAGGGTCACTGCATTCCCCTGGATGGAAACTGTGGTTCAGCCTGAATTGGCACCTGAATCCTCCCAAATCTCCAGTGATTGGGCCTAAGCACTGATCTTCAGCCTGTGGGACCTGCAGCTCACGATTGAGTGTCAGCTGCAGAGCAGGTGCACTTCACCTGGGCCCGTACCCCTGGCCCCACTTCGTGCCTCACACTCACTCACCTACGGTAATCAGAGCTGTTTGCAAACCTAGACCTACTGTAGTTTCCTCTCCCACTGTCTACAGTCTCAACTTCTCAGTTGCACAACTGAACTTTGTTTCAATCAGACATGGAGATTCAGTGCCACCTTCTCTCTTCTGGAGTTTTTGACTCTTCCTCATGAATATAGATCCTGTTGCACCTCCCCTCACAATTTTCCACTTCTCTTTCCCACCAATGCTAGTAACTCATATTGCTGAATGATTCTCACCATAATCATTCTCACTTATCATCTGATAAAAGGAAGTCTGTAATATTATGCTGGGCCAGGGCTGATTTGCACAGTGAAGTTGCTTGATAAATACTGTGATCTGCACTAAGGAAGTGATTGCCACTCCATTCAAGTTTCAGGTCCCACTCACACGCATTGTGCCTTTCATTTGAGTCACTTGTCCAATATGTTGAAGGGTCCAGATCTCACAATGGCTCTTTATTGGGTGAGAATTCTGGGAGCAGTGCCACTCGGCTGCATGGTGCCAGGTCCTGAACCTGCTCCTCCTCTGGTGGAGGCCTGGCACGTGCGGCCAGCTCTCGTGTGGGCAATGTGTTAACTTCAGCAAACACAGGTCTATCAGGGATAATGACTCCCCCCACCCACTTTAGTTAAGGAAGAATACCCCAGATAGGAACTGAAATCAGCCAGACTTGTATTGACAACACAAGTGAAGGGCTCTGATCTTGGTCATTAAAAATATTTCCTTCTGACACATCTAACCTTTCTCTGCATTATTGTTCTGTTTCAGCTTCTGGGACAGAGTAGGTTCTTTTTTGAAAAAATATTAAAAAGTCAAGACTTTTGCCATGAGAGCATTGGATTCATGGACCCAGTTCACAGCCCAGGGGGGAAGCACTTGCAGTGCTCAAGGGAAAATCTTTTCTTAAATACTAGCACCAGAGCCTCAATGCTATCTTTCCCATTCTAGGATCTGGCCTTGATGGGACATTTCACACAGGCTGAGCTTTCAACCTCTGTCCTCTCACTTCTTTCTTAGGATCTTCTGGGCATTTACTTGCTCTTGAAAGGTTGGAACACTGTTTTGGAAATGCAAGACACTGTATGCTAACACAGTTTAACCATTTGTGTTTGTTTTTTAATGAGATAATGGGGCAGCAGTTTATCTTTCTCTCAAGGCAATGCTGCTGGTTCAGGAAAGGAGTAACAAAACAGAAGCCGTCCCTACACCCTGTAACAAGGGGAAGTGCTCTGCTCAATGCAAAATTGAGCTATGTTTTGGAAGAGTGGATCTCCAGCTGAGCTCAGCTCCTGGTGGTTGACACCGCTCCTGGAAAAACAGAATCAAGGAGGATAGACTCTGAAACACAAGGGGATTGGTACCAAGGGCCTTTTTTCAGAGTGAAAAAAGCAATCCCTGCTGTGAAGTTTGCTGCCATGAGCACTTTTCCTCTCCACAACCAGAGGAAAGAATTTTTCTAAAACTCCAGCTGACTCATATGACTCCAGGCTGGGGTTACTCTTTACCTAGCATGAGGCAGATTACAGAGTGACTCTAACTTCAGGAATTTCTGAGAGAAGCCAAGCTGGCAATGCTTCAGGAAACCTGAGTAGAGGAGGCCTTCCAATGACCAGGAAGCAGAACTTCAGTGTATAGAGGAACCCATGGTTTCATGTGAAGCCCCAGTTGCCAGAGGCTGAGGAGGTTGTGTTCATATTGGCCCTGACTTTGGGGTAGAAGCATGAGGGGAAATGAAAGGCTGTTGTGAGAACCTGCTAGGAATGTCCCTTTGGAAGCCTTGCGAGGATCTCCCAAATGCCGGGATTTCCATGGGAAGCACTCTTTGTGGCTCTTTGGGAGTGGGAGACATTTGCCATGAGTTCTGCCTCATTAAGAAGATTTTATTACTTTGCTTTTGAAATCTCAGAATGATCCATAGGACAAATACTGTTTTTCCATGCCACCCTAGAGAGACATTCCTGATCCATCCAAAGGCAGCTTTGCAAAATCAATGCCAGCTTTGAGGCATTCTGAGAATAAGAATTGTAAGATGCACTAAGAGAAAAAGGCTGTGAAAAGTAGCAGTGGAGGGGAGGGTTGGGGAATTAGAGCCATGAACAGGGACCAAGAAGGCTCTGTGCATGTTCGTGGCATTCCTTCTAGCCAATGTGACTTCAGTTCTTCTTTGTGATCATTTAAATATTTATAAATCTTCTAGACCTAGATAAAGTCTCCCCTTATTCAGGAAGTCTTGCAGCTACCGAAGTCCATAATGAATCTTCCTTCTTCGGACTATTTTAATTCCTTGAGTCAGTATATACTTTATATTATGATGATTTCACTCATTTACTCAATAGTTGCATTCATTTAGCCAATAATTCAACATTTATTCTAATTTCCCAATAAACTATTTATTCCTCACATTCTTTAGGTTGTGGACTGTCAACAAATCCAACATCATTCAATCAATCACTTAATAGATGCTTATGTGCCAAACATGGCCAGGAGGACCTAGAAGTACTCTTTTTCCCAATGTTTCCACCATCCTGAGACATGTTATCCTTTTCAGTGTGCCAGGGATCTAGATCAGATCAAACTATTGAATGGGAGAGAGAATGCTCATCCTCTTGTGTCACTGAGAGTAAAGGAGAAATTGTATTTAATGTGTCTTTTGCAGTTAATGGAATTCAGTACCCTTCTGTCAATGACAGCTGTTGTGATCATTGATTAGAATCTCAGTACATACACTTGGTGTAAGCCAAAGTCTTTTTCTAAAATAATTAAGAGTTTTAGTTCTTTGGGTTTTTCCTTCAAGATTTATTTACTTATTTGAAAGGCAGAGTTACAGAGAGGCAGAGGCAGAGAGAGGTCTTGCATCTGCTGGTTCACTCCCCAAATGGCCGCAATGGCCAGAGCTGGGCTGATCCTGAGCCAGGAGCCTGGAGCTTCCTCCAGATCTCCCACTTGGTTGCAGGAGCTCAAGGACTTGGGGCATCTTCTGCTTCTTTCCCAGGCACACCAGCAGGGAGCTGGATCAGAAGTAGAGCAGCCGGCACTGTGGCATGGCAGGTTCAGCTGGTGCCTGCAGTGCCAACATCTCATATGGGTACCAGTTCAAATCTCAGCTGCTCTACTTCTGATCCAGCTCCCTGCTAATGTGCCTGGGAAAGCAGTGGAAGATGGCCCAAGTCCTTGGGCCTCTGACACCCATGTGGGGACTCAGAGGTATCTCTTGGCTCCTGGCTTCAGCCTGGCCCAACCCTGGTCTTTGTGGCTGTTTGGTGAGTGAACCAGCAGATGGGAGATTTCTCTCTGCTTCTTCTTCTTTCTCTGCAACTATGACTTTAAAATAAATAAATAAATCTTATAAACAAATAAATACCTCCAGTGAGGCTGACAAAAAAAATGCAGAACTCAAGGATGATAATAATAGAGACTGTGACCTTACCCTAGGCTTTTAAATTATTCTACTTAAGTTTTTTAAAAAAAAACATTTATTTAAGATATACAAATTCCATGTATTTCATATTAATATATCTAGGAACATGGTGATACTTCCCACCCCACCTTCCCTCCTGCCCACACTCCCACCTTTCTTCCTCCTCCCTCCCCTATTCCCACGCTTAGTTTTTACAAAGATTTTTCAGTTTACTATATACTCATAATATTAACTGTACACTAAGAGTTCAACAAATGGTATGAAGAAAAAGCAAGCTGCTGTTCCTCAATAGTATTTAATTATGTTTAGAAAATGTTGGCTGGCGCCGTGGCTCAATAGGCTAATCCTCCGCCTGTGGCGCTGGCACACCGGGTTCTAGTCCTGGTTGCTCCTCTTCCTGTCCAGCTCCCTGCTGTGGCCCAGGAGTGCAGTGGAGGATGGCCCAAGTGCTTGGGCCTTGCGCCCGCATGGGAGACCAGCATAAGCACCTGGCTCCTGGTTTCGGATCGGTGCAGTGCGCTGGCCACAGCCCACCGGCCGCAGAGGCCACTGGGGAGTGAACCAATGGAAAAAAAAACAAAAAAAAGACTTTTCTCTCTGTCTCTCTCTCTCTCTGTCCACTCTTCCTGTAAAAAAAGAAAAAGTTAGTGAGCCCTATCCCATGGATAGTGACTGAGAGTGACGCGATATGAACTTCAGTGTTGAAAGACCGTAATGA